GGGCCAGGAACAATTCTTTCTTTACCTCCCCACTTGTCAGCGGGCCTGTATGGTTTCAAATAAGTGCTGGGTTTCTCAGTGGAATGTTATTAATCTGTAACAAAGTTTGAGACTCAAACAGGGTAAGTGTATGTACAGTGCGACTGCTTCCTTTGAAGTGTACAAGATAAGCCTGATTTTCCACTACATTGCATCCTGCATTTTCAGCCGTGCACAGAATACTGCCAAATTGGAATTTTTGTGCTTTATACTCACTTTTCACAGATGGTGCAAAGCTGTGGTGAATAAGAGCTTTTATGTTAGATGTTACCACACAAATCAAAATTTTCCTTTTGCAGCACCAGCCCTTAAAAAGGAGGAAATTCAAAACTAAATATTTGAAATTCCAAACTTGAACAGCAAGCTCATATTATGACTACAGGCCTGCAAATCCACAGATATCTGCTTTATATCCATGCCATGGCTCATTATTGTGGATACAGATGCAGATGTGGATACACATTTTCTACCCATGCAGGGCTCTAAGGGTATGTCTAGACTGCATGCCTCTGCCAACAGAGGCATGTAAATTAGACTACCCGACATAGTCAATGAAGAGGGGATTTAAATATCCCCCGCTTCCTTAGAATAAAAATGGTCACCACGTTGTGCTGGCTCAACTGTTTGTCGGCACACACCAACAGTCAAGACGGGGATCGGTCGGCAATGAAAGCCTTTGCCGACCGATCCCTTATGCCTTGTGCAATGAGGTTTACAGGATTGGTCGGCAAAGGCTTTCCTTGCCGACCAATCCCCGTCTTGACTGCTGGTGTGTGCCAACAAACAGCTGAGCCGGCACAACGCAGCAGCCATTTTTATTCTAATGAAGTGGGGGAATATTTAAATCCCCGCTTCATTGACTATGTGGGTATGTCTAATTTACATGCCTCTGTCGGAAGAGGCATGTATTCTAGACATACCCTAATTGTGGAAGTTATTCAGTAACTCGTGCCTACCGTCAGAAAGGTAAATCCTAACTTCCATTCTAAAACCCCTTTTTCTGTTGCTTACAATTTTTTAATGCAAATTTTTTTTATCTAAAGTTTTCCATGCTTGGGTTCAGTGAATTGATGAATGTGCTGCAAGTTTGAACCCAGGCTTGGACTTAGCCGATAGGTGGCACGTGCTTCTCTGAAGCTGGTATCATGATCCAGAATTTTAGCTTCCATTAAATAAATAGTTAAATTTACAGATGTAATGGTTATGAAGTAAACTTTAAAAAATGGGACTCGGATAGCTGATGAAGAGATGCTTACAGAAAATCTGAAACAATAACTCTGAGTAGTGTAAACTGCCCAATTCCTCCCAGTAAGGTGCTCTCTCAGAGGCCTATGGATAATTTAAGTGTTATAACTTGTGACTGTCATTCCTCATGTAAGATGAGAAAGGGAGGATCACAGCTACATGATTTACTGAATGTGATGCTCTGGCTACATCTACACTACCTCAGCAAGTAGACTTAAGATACTCAAATCCAGCTACATCAGGGGTGGGAACCTCAGGCCCGGGGGCCAGATGCAGCCCTCGGCTTACTTGGATCTGGTCCCCAAGGCATAGGGGGGGCCCCAGCAACTTGGAAGCCTATGCTGGCACTCCAGTTCCCCCACTGCCACCTCCCCGTGGGCTGGAGCACACAATATCTACTAGGCTGGGGCCCCCTAGGCTCTGATGTGTGAAGGTAATTTGGGGAGTGTCTTTCTCCTTCTCACTCAGGCCCACAGTGAGGAGGTTTTTTTTCTGCTTCTCATTTGTGAGTGGCCCCCAACTGATTTTTCTGTGGGTCAATGGCCCCTGACTCAAAATAGATTCCACACCCCTGAGCTACATGAATAATGTAACTAGAGTCAATGTAGCTTAGGTTGACAATCTGTAGTGTATCTCATGAACCAAGCATAGCGCAGACACTCTCCCGTCACCTTATCTTACTCTTCTCTTTCAGGGTGGAGTATCAGGGTTGACTGCAGAGTGATCTGCAGTCAGTTTGGCTGGACTTCACTAACCTGCTAAATCAATCTCTGGTGCATCAATCACTGGAGCATGGATCTGGCTGTAGTATAGACAAAGCCTCATTTAAGAACTACAACGGTGATGTTTTAGAATTACTGCTACTTATGCCTGTGGTTTGAAAAAATTTGGTTCAATTTTATTATGAATTGTAAGTGTGAAAGCATATATGAGTCAGGTGGAAGGATGGGCTGGGGAAGAACACCCAACTGTTCCTCATATATGCTAAATGGATTATTTTTCACATAGGTAACAGCTCAAAATAGAATCACTATGCTAGGCTTGTTTTATTAACTCTACAAGATTTAAAGCGGCCACCTTAAAGTTCTGTTTAAAATCTGAATTTTTAACACACGCACAGCAAAATATACCTTTATTCACTCTAAAGCCGGAATACTAGGGAGAGGGGTGTATGGGGGGTTATAAAGAAGATAGGTGGCTGCTTGAGCTAGCCTCATCCATGTAGGACCCTGGGCACATATTCGAACAGCTGTCACGTGATGAAAGCTAGTTCAAGTATATCAATGCATTCTTCAACCATACCTCCCAATTGCAGAGCAGGCATACCCAGTGTAGTTCTGTCTCCTAGTGTCTGGACCACATGGTGGTTTATGAGCCCATGTAGCCTTTGCACTAACAAAATTGGGTCTTTTAGCTTATGCAGCGAAGGCTCATGCTTTTAGAGCCAGAAATGTAGCTCCTGATGCAGATAACCCTCAGAAGGATGTCATATTACATTATATCGAGTCAGTGGCTACTACTGAGGAGGGACACAAGGGAGACACCAGTCATGTGGCCACCTCCTTGTCCCACCCCTAGCTGAGGGGAGGGACCCACTGCTGCCCTGCCCCTGAACAACTCCTTCTATTCTGTTGAGGTTGTTATATTGTTCCCATCACCATGTTATGTCTGCACACGATGGACCTCACTTGTTACGGTCAATATCAGTCACACATATTTCTGGGAGGGGGGTTCGATTGGTCCTCTAATTCTCTCCCTGGCCATGCACCAGGGATAGAGGCATTGCCCGTTCTTCTCCTGCCTCTGTGCAGAAATCTCACTGCATTACCAAGCAGGGCAAGGCTCACCTGGTGAGTCTGTTGATAGAGCCTCTCTCTTCTACAGGGCTTGCTGGATGCAGAATCCATCCAGGCTGTGATGCTTGGATTGGGCTTGGATCTGGGTTGGGGTCAGCTATTGCACTTCATTGAAATAATTCTCATAATGTCTCCTTTAAATGATGTAAAATTATTTTGAACACAAAACCAAAAAGTGTATTTGTAATTTTCCTAAAGAAAGGGGAAAAATGTCACAGGAACTGTCTTTTTTGAGTCAAGTTTTGGCAGTTCACCTTAAAAATACAAAAAGATACTTGGAGTGCAATAGCAATAATAGTCCCAGTATTACTTAGTATACAGTAGCACCTGGTTGGGTTTTGAGGTGATTTTGATATGACTTTTAAAACATGTACGACTAGGTTCTTCTCTGAATCGTACCTGTGATAAACCAGAGTAATTGTTTTAATGTCAATGAAGTTATTCTGCGTTCCCACCAGCACAACTAAGAACATATTAGTCCACCACTGTTAGTAGCTTTTCACTTTTAATAAAGTCATATTTTCCCATTTGAATAAAGTTACATTTCCAGATTGCTGAAGTATTATTAAACACAAATAGAGTAATCTTGGGGTCACTCTAAATTATGTTCCTATAAATTAAATGCCAGGGGATTAGCAATAGGAAAAGATTAGGTAATAGATAATAGTGTTTTAAAAGTTATATATTTTTTAAATGTTATATATTTTTTAAAACAGTTAAGGTAAGCCCTAGAATTGGAGTGAAAGTTTTCTCAAAATCTTCACTAATTGTTTGTGTGGATAATTCAATGTTTGCATTGTTTAGAACAATTTTTCTGCCTTCTTTTGTTTTTCATT